CCCCTTTCTGGTGACCTTCTGTTCCTGGCCCATTGTCCTTGCTGTACTCAGGTCTGTCTAACTGCATACTACGACATTCCCCCCTGCCTCCCCAAGGATCTTGTTTCAGAAATCTCTCAGAGAAAAGGGGTGCAGGGTTTCTACTGTAGTTGCTGAAAGGGGGTGAAGTTTTCCTTCAGAGCTAAGAGATCCTTGCTCATTGTCAAGGGGTAATGAGACCTGATGACAGAAGGAGGTGATGATGGTGTCTAGAGGTGGTATTCCTGAGTACGAGTAGGTTTGTAACATGGTGGAGACAAACTGTGTTAAAAATCTTAGTATTTGCCCTAGCAAGTTTGGCTCAGAGGATAGAGCATCTGCCTGCAGACTGAAGGGTCCCAGGTTCGATTTTGGTCAAGGGCACATTCCTGGGTTGCAGGCTCCTAGCTAATTTTCCAGTCAGGGCACATGCCCAGGTTGTGGGCTTGATTCCCAATGGGGGGGCTGCAGGAGGCAGCCGATCAATGATTCTCTGTCATCACTGATGTTTCTATCTCTCTCTCCCTCTTCCTTCCTCTCTGAAATCAATAAAAATATATTGAAAGTTTAAAAAAAATTAGTATTATTGGGGCAAAAGCTAGAATGGCAAGAATTACAACAAATGATCCAGTGGAAGGAAAAAATGTTTTCATTCTCATTAATTCCAAGTCAAAGAATGGGAAAAAAGTGAAACCGTTTTGAGGGTTGTAGCCAAATATTTAAGAAAATTAGGAAAATTCATGATCCTGTCCAGTTTGTAGGTGAAAAATTTAAAGCTTTTAATTGAACTGGAATCTAATATTTACAATGGTGTATTATAGAGTCTATTAAAACATAATTTCCCACCTAAAATTACCCTCATCTTTACTAATAAAAGCCTAGGTGGCCCTGGCGTGCGACCTCACAAGATGGCCACCACAAAGATGGCCACGCACACAGTGGAAGCGGGGCCCGTCAGCCGCTCCATGTGGTGAGGCCTGGGGGTCCCATGGCTCCTTGCTGCATGGAGAAGGCTGGGCCCAGCATCTCTGCCACCTTGAGTGGAGGAGGTGGGTCCCAGCCTAGGAGGTGGGTCTCTAATTAGCCCCTCAGGGCAAAGAAGCCAAGCCACCTAGTTGCCATCAAGTTTGTCTGAAATATGTATAGACTTGGGTGAATTCCTTGCCATCTCTCAGGAAAGCAACCTTTGTTGCTTACCTGGAAAGACTGCCATGTGACCAAGCAAGGTACCTGACCATTTCTCCAAAGTCAGTCTTTATTCCTGAGGCTTTCTGGGGACACCCAGAGTCCAGGCGTGCCTCTCTCAGACGTGACATTCCAGTCAGAGTCTTGGTTAATAAAACCACAATTGGAAACTGGGCTTATTGAAATCATGCAAAAAAACATATTGCCATGAAAATAGTAGTACTCCAGTTTCCAAAATCTGGAGGGATTAGGTAGAGAGAAAAAGACAATTTTCAAAATCCTTTTATTTTTTAAAATATATTTAAAGCCATTGAGCTACACCGGCCAGGCATACCAAATCCTTTTCTTTAAAAAATATATATATATATATTGACAAAAAAGACCAATTTATGTATTGTATTAAGTCCAATTTCAATTGTTTGCATAAACACAGTAAGAATAGCAACTGATTAAATAGGCTTACTTTTAAAAAAAAATATATATATATATATTGATTTTTTACAGAGAGGAAGGGAGAGGGCATGTACCTTGGTTGGGGGCACATCCCCAGTGGGGAGTGTGCAGGAGGCAGGTGATCGATGTTTCTAACTCTCTATCCTGCTCCCTTCCTCTCTGTAAAAAATCAATAAAATATATTTTTAAAAAAAGACCCATTTATGTATTGTATTAAGTCCAATTTCAATTGTGTGCATAAACACAGTAAGAATAGCAACTGATTAAATAGGCTTACTTTTAAAAAAAAATATATATATATATATTGATTTTTTACAGAGAGGAAGGGAGAGGGCATGTACCTTGGTTGGGGGCACATCCCCAGTGGGGAGTGTGCAGGAGGCAGGTGATCGATGTTTCTAACTCTCTATCCTGCTCCCTTCCTCTCTGTAAAAAATCAATAAAATATATTTTTAAAAAAAGACCCATTTATGTATTGTATTAAGTCCAATTTCAATTGTGTGCATAAACACAGTAAGAATAGCAACTGATTAAATAGGCTTACTTTTAAAAAAAAATATATATATATATATTGATTTTTTACAGAGAGGAAGGGAGAGGGCATGTACCTTGGTTGGGGGCACATCCCCAGTGGGGAGTGTGCAGGAGGCAGGTGATCGATGTTTCTAACTCTCTATCCTGCTCCCTTCCTCTCTGTAAAAAAATCAATAAAATATATATATTTTTAAAAATAAGTCTCCTTGTATTTGGAAAGCAAGAGGAAAATTCTTGTCCTTTTAACAGAGTGAGAGAGCGAATCATTGATTGGCTGCCTCCTGTGCACCCCACACTGGGGATGGAGCCTTCAACCCACGCATGTGCCCTGACGGGGAATGCAACTGTAACTTCCTAGTTCATAGCATTCTCAACCATGGAGCCACACCAGCCGGGCGAGGCTTTCTTAAATCTTTTGCTGGAATTCCATGATTGACTTTTAAATTTATTTATTTAATTAAATTCATTATTTAGCTTACTTATGTAATTTCCTTTTAAGATTTTTTATAAAACTTTCACAAACCTTTTTACAACTTTCATAA